GGAATTCCCCACACAGCCTCTAAGGGTAAGAAATAAGTAGCTTCACATATCACAAAAGTGGGATTTGGAAGTTTGGGGGTGGCTAGGCCCTGAGTTCAGAGGTATGGGGAGAAACCTGTGACCCTGAATCTCTTGGTGGGGAATAGCTGCCACCTGACCCCAAAGCTCTTTCCCTTCCTGATGAAGGCTGGGAGATGGGCCCTGCCCCCCACCTCTTAGCCTTAATACCTCAGGCCCTGTTCCCTGCCCTCCACCCTTGAACACTCCTGAGAGCAGCAGGGAGGATAGGACCTCTAGCTCTGTGGGTATAGGCAGGGCAGCTGTTGCAGAGGCTGCTGAGGCCGGCTCACCCCCCTGCTCCAGATGAAAAGTGTCTCGTGCTCAAGTCCCTGCTCACAGGTTATGGACCTTCCCTTCTTATCTCCTCTCCTCTCTCCTAGAGAGGCATAGACAGCTCTAGGCCAGTGCTTCATGTGCATGAATATGTGTGTCATAACCTTGGACACTGGACCTGGGGGTGGGGCTGAGAAAGCAATGTCCTTTCTATTCTCTTCTGCCCCCAACAGCAGGAAGCCAAAGGGAAGGGAGGGGACTGGTATTAGCAAAGCTGAGAGGGGAGGAGGACATGCTATGTACAGGCATGGATAAGGAATCTCTACATATCTTCAAGTAGCACTCAGGTCACTTTCCAGCCACTGCAGTGGAAACTGGATTCAAAGCTAGTGACATGAACATTGACCCCTGGCCTGGGCTAGCTTTCCCCACCTCCCTCCCACTCCCCCCAGGCAGCCCAGCTCTGAAAGGGGTCAGGGACAGGAACATTTTCCTGAAAACCAGTGGCTGTTTTTTGCATTTTAGAAAAAGTTGCCAGTGTCCAGTGGACATCAAGCTGGGTGCGCATTGAGTGGGGCGAGTGTTGGGGGTATTGCTGTGGTAGGCTCTGGACTGGCTGGGGCAGAGCCTAGGAACAGGGTAGGTGCTGCTTAAGGATCTGTCTTGTCTGTGGTGTTAATCTGTCTGGGAAGCGAACTTTGAACTCAACAATGAGGTCTCCCCGCTGAGTAGGCACTTTGGGGAAGGGAAGGCCCTCCCCACGGAGTCTCTTCACGGTGCCTGGCTTGATGACATCATTGCAGGGCAAAGGGATCACTCGGCCGTCGATGGTGGGAATGTTCACAGTGCAGCCACACAGCGCCTGGGGAAGATGAAGCAGAAAGTGAGGAAAAGGTGGGGTAAGGTGAGTGGGAAGGGAGGAAATAGATTGAAGTGAGGAAAGAATGTGCCTGCTGGTGGGAAGAGAGGGAATCTCCCCAGCAGGCACACACAGCTAACTAGGCCCCACCTCCTTGAGGCTGATCAGGGCACTGTAGAGCACGTTGGTGCCGTCTCGGCGGAAGTGTGCATGGGGCTTGTCTTTGAGCACAAAGACAATGTCAGCAGGGATGTTGTCAGGCGTGGCGTCGCCTTCTTTGGGGAAGGTGATCTTGGTGCCTTCCTTCCAGCCGCGCTTGATGACGATGTGCAGGATCTTGTCCTCAGTGCGCACAGTTCGCCCATCAGGGTTGAGGCGCCGCCTCGTGATCTTCATGCGCTTGGTGGAGCCATGGTAGATCTCCTCCAGGGACACCCGCAGCTCGTGCACCACTGGGGGGTCCTGCACCTTGCGCCGAGGGTACAGTGGTTCTGGGGCTCGCCTTGGACCCCTACTCAGCCCATTGAAGCCAAAACGGCCGAAGGCGCCAAATGGGTCCTCATCTTCATCCACATCCATATCATCTGGGTCAAAGCCACTGAAGGGTCGAGTGGAGCGGCTGCTGGCAAAGAAGATATCGAAGGGGTTGGAGCCACCAAAGAAGGAGGCAAAGGTGGCATGGGGGTCCCCATGAAAAGTGTAGTGAAAGGAGCCACTGGAGCCACCTGATGTACCGCCGCCGGTCTTCAGGCCTAGAGGGGAGGAGAAGTTAGGAGCAGTGTGGCTCATCCTGGCCCCACCCCAGTATCTTCCCCCTGCCTGCTAGCTCCCAGTTCACAGGCCTAGAGAGATAAGCAACCTTTAAATCCCACAGAGACGGCCAGGCTAATAGAGTAAGAAAGGCTTCTGGCAAGATTATTTTCCACTTCTGATTATATATTTAATAACGATGAACAACTTGAGATTCAAAGAGGCTGGCTTACCCAATAGGTGGAAAAGCCAGGACTACAGGACTTAAGAGACTGTGACTTCCAGGCCTGTAATCTCTTCTACATACTCATGGTCCAAAGATGTCTCATACAGCCTTGAATGAATAGCCTGGTATCACATTACAAGTCATACCTGGTTCCCAAATCTTTGCTTATCTCCAAATACATACAGGACAAGGGGCAACCAGACAGGATGTGACCACAGAGGGGGCTGGTAAGTGAACAGTCACAAATAGGGTAGGAATCCAACCCAGGAGGAAGACCACTTCCACTCTGCTTCTAACAATGTTTCCTCTTTCCCTGACTCCTGCTCAAATGGGAAACCAGGAGGCCTCAAAAAGCAGGAAAGCTCATTAGCTTGGAGATGAAGAGCTATTTTTCTAGAAAAAGTTTTCAAATGATTTGTTCCCACACTCTGCTCGGTGTTACACAACTTTAGGGAGTGTCATTCACACATTGTACAGACATAGACTACAATGGGAACGGAGCTCCCTGGAGTTATACAACAGTGAACGCCATACCCCACACCTAATGTTGAGCAACCAAAATGCATGAATGGGCTGGCACATGGCAGGTGGTGACCTTAGCTGCTCTCTCTGTAGGGTCTTGTCTAAGGGACTCAGATTCCTGGAGCAGCCTTCATGCGGAGGAGGGGGTGCTGGCGGTAGTGGGGGATGTGGGGAGAGGGTTCACACTGAGAACTGCTCTGGAATACATAGACTAGGGGTGAGGCCCAGAGTAGGAAACAGACCCTTCTCTTTGAGGCCATTTATCTAGAATTTCAACTGATCATGAAGATCTGAGCCTAATTTAGCCGCTATTTCCTGGGACCACAAGGGCAGGTTTGAATTTCACTAGAGAGGCCAAGTGGCAGACAGTTCAAGGACTTGTGGCAGCTGCCTCTTCACCCCTCCCCCAAGACCTAGGATCTCTTCTTTCCTTCTATCGCAGGGCCAATCATCAGGCAAGTTCAAGCAGCCTGGCAGAGCTGGTGACAGAGGGAGGGAGGCTGGACTGACGATGATGGGAAGAGGTAATTCTCTCTATAGGGATTCCTGCTCTCCCACTCCCACCCCCTTTTCAAGCTGGGAGCAATTTGTCCCTAGCCAGAGCTGTACACAGAGTCTGTGTATAGAACTGCTTTATAATAGATGGCTACTGGGGATTGGGCAGGGTGGACAGAAATGTAACCAACATTTCTAAGCTGCTTCTCCCTCCCCAGGCCATGGAGGTACCCTTAAGGCCATGCCACATCCTCAGGGGTCCTCCTGGGATGGGGCTGTGCATCAGAACCTGGTGTCTCGACCCCTTCACTTAGGCAGAAGGGTGAAGTATCTCAGGGGAGCTCTCTCAGCAACTGCCTTCTTTCTAAACAAAGGTGAGGCTGAATGGAGAAATGAGTGCAATTCCAAGACAGGTCACATGGTGGCATGGTGTCTGCACTGCTTCCCTTTTTCCCACTCCTATCCTTCCCATCCCTCCAAGCCAGAGAGAAAAATGTCTTAGCTTGGAGAATATGGGGGGTTCCAGCTGGTATCTGGTAAATCTGGGAGTTGGCACGTCTGGGAGGTAAGCAGGAAGAATGGAAGGAACCAGCAGCGTGGAGAATAGGAAGAGGGAGTTGGGAGGACAAGAGTGCACAGAGGGACATGGAACCCAAGGCCAGGAGGAGGGGAAGAAAATAACCCTCTTATCTACATATGATTAGCCCATTTAGTTTTGAGGATAGATGGGGAGGGTGAAGAGGAGGACAATGTGAAAAAAAGGTGGATACTGTTGGGGAGGAAGGACAGTTCTTCCTAGGAAGGAGAGTCCTCAGCTGTGACAATGTCTCTTAATATAGCCTGACAGGTGCCTGTGGCTGGCGGGTAGCAGGCAGCCCTGACAGGCAGGCCCAGAATTAGCAGCTACATCATGGCCGTGGGATGTGCTGGGAGGGGCCTCCCTCTCAGAGGCTTTATTTGGGCCTTTCCTGCCTCCTACACTGTGGCTACCAGCTACCCCAGGGAGGGGGTCAGATGCCAGCCACAGTTCCCTTTCCACCCTTGGATCCTTGCCACTTCCTCTGGGACGCAAAGCTCCACCTCTGTTCTGCTGGCAAGAAGCAGGCAGGGCCGGGGGAGGGAAGGGGACAACCATTTCTGCTCAGAGCTCTGGTAGTTAATTCCCAGGCTGCTTAGAGGCCAGACTTTTATGCTGATGAATGTAAATGCTCTGTCCTCAGAGAGCCACACACTCCCTCTCTCCAATCTTCCCCATCAGCCAATGAAGCAGCAGAGACTTCAGGCAGGACTAATAAGGCTGGGAAGGAAAGAAGGGCAGGAGAGGCCCCTGGCTGTTGTTTCAGACCTCTCTAAGGCCTGAACCTGAGGAGGGAGAAGGGCAGAGAGAGGCAGGGAGAACTACGGTGAGCTGAGCTGGGTAGTGGGTGGGCTCCTCTCTCCTCTGGGTAGCCGTGCTAGAAACCCTGGCCGCCCTCACCCCCTCCACAGCCTCCAGTTCCCTGCTACAAAAACTGGTACACCCAGGACCCCCACCAAGCACAGGGGTCCAGGATTGGGCTAGAGTGTTACCCTCTTACCTTCCTCCCCATACTGGTCATACAGGCCCCGTTTCTTTGGGTCACTCAGCACATCATAGGCCTCTGCAATCTCCTTAAACTTCTCTTCAGCATTGGGTTCTTTATTCTTGTCTGGGTGGTACTTCAAGGCCATCTTCCGGTAGGCTTTCTTGATCTCATCCTCATTGGCCCCTGATGGGATCCCAAGAATCTTGTAATAATCTTTTCCCATCACAGCCACTGGACCAGCACTGGTCTCCTTGTTTCTGAAAGAAACCCAGGGCCAAGACTTGATGCCTTCTTCTCTTCTGCCCCAGCCCTGTTCCTAATGATCTTGCAATCCCTAAATGACTCCCTGGGTAACCTTCAGCAGGTCATGCCTGTTCTGTGGGCCTGTGTCCCCCATCTGTAAAATGAAAGATTTGGACTAGATGATCTCTTCCAGCTCTGACATTCTAGGATCCTGTGATTCCGTCTTCACCTCCTGGGTTTTCCCAGCAGGAAGCTGAAGGTTGTGGCCCACTTCTTGGGGCTAGGCTGAGGCCCTGGTCCTTGGGCCAGACTGAGGACCCCTGAGAGGCCCTGCTGAGTGAGGTGGCACCATGGACTGAGCAACCCACGCACAGGAGCTGGCGAAGGTCAGTGTAACGGGTGAGGTCACCTGAGCATCGTGGTCTCCTGTGCCATGCCTCAGGCATGATGCCAGGTTGAGGGCAGCTTGGGCAGTGGCCCAGGACTGGGAACAGGCCTGGGTCTTCCGCCAGCTGTCCTGGCCAGCCAGACTGAGTCAGGGAATGGGTGTCTGGAGTCTTCTCTGCCATTGGAGACCCCAGGCCTCCCTGCCCCCGCCTCTGTGATTATGCTAAGCCTCACGTGTGACTCAGATCACCAGATGACTCACAGCCTTTGGAAACTGCTGTTTCCAACTCCCTCATTAGTGGGGGGGATGGGTGGGGTGGGGTGGGGTGGGGTGGGGGGGTTGGGAGGGGAGAAGGGAGGGATTGGAGGAGATACTGTCCTTCCCCCAACCGGGGCAACAGTTCCCTTTACTCATTTCCCAGCATCTACACACAAAACTTCTAGGGTTGTGCTGCCTAAGCACCAGTGTGAGTGAATAAAAGCTTCCTGGGGACAGGACTTTTTAAACCCCAGTGGTTAGGAGACAATTGGGCACTAACCAACCACCATTTCTTTAATATCCTTCCTAGCCCCACCCCACGCCCCCAGTCCACCCCTGTGGTTTAGGATCGGACCCAGCGTCAGTCCCATATTCCTCTGACAGTCCTTCTTAAGGTGGGTGCAGGAGCATTTGTTATAAGAGAAACGCACAACCCGAATTCTTCCATTCCAGTCTTCCTCCATCGATGTATCTGTGGTGGATATCAGGGGAAGGGGGACTTTCCTGTAGCTAGAGCTCTCTAGAGGAATGGCCAGAAGCCATTTTCACCCTTCTGAGACCTGGCCAACCCCCACCAAGGTCAGGAGAACCAGTCTTTCTAGCGATGTCCTAGGCTGGCAGCCCCAGCTGAGGCCTGCTTTTCTGCCTCTGACTGCTTCACAGCATGGAAGTGTACAGGGTATCCTGGCAGGAGTGAGGGCTGTAACCAGGTAAGGGGGAGGCATCCGAGGCCCTAGGTGGGCAGTGACGATGGCCCTCACTGCTGCCCCCACAGGGCCTGCTGCAGGTGGCTGGGTTGACTCATGGTTCTGGGAGTCACCTTTCTCTGACGAAGAAAAGACTCCACATAGGCGGGTACTCCCCCATTGCCCCCCACCAGCAATGTCATGTCTGTGGGGGAGACGGGGGTTGGGGGAGGCAGAGAAGAAAGAGCACCTGGAGGGGGCAACCATTTTCAGAAATGGCAGCAAAAGCCACCTGAGAGGGAGCTGGGGGTGGTCTGCCATTTCTGCCTCAGCCCACACCTTCTTTACCCTGGGACTGGGAAGGAACCCTAGCACACCAAGAGGGTGCCCCCAGAGAACTAGAGCAGCTTCCAGGCAGAGGGCCAGTGGGACAGCTCACCAACCACCCACCTCCTTTTGCTGTCCCTGCATTACCTCCACACCCAGCCAGCTTCCTCCCTGGTACCCCGCTGCTAGCTGCCCTAGGCCCATACATCTCTTGCCTCCACAGACACAGGGCAAGCTCTTTCAGATCTGCCTCCTTTTTCTCCTTCTGCTTTCCTCCCTCCTTCCCTTCCCCCCTACCCACAGGCCACGTGTTGGAATGACAAAGGAGCCCCATGGCATGGCACTGCCTTTGATGGAGAAGAATGAGAAGGATGTTAAGGTAGAGGCAGGAAGGAAAGATGGGGAGAAAATGGCGAGGGGGACTGTTGAGGTACAGGGAGAGGAGATGGCTGATACAGAAAATGAGGTACTGATGGATGGGGATGAGTGACAGATGGAAATGGCTGAGGTGGAAAACAGGTTAATGATGGGTTGAAAGGGAGGAATGTGTAGAGAGTTGAAATATTGGAGGAAATGTCTGTGGAAAATGGATGCCCAAAGGGTTTGAGATAGGAGAGGAATGATAAGGGGTGCAATTCATTCAGATATGAGAGTGAGGCAGGAGGGGGCTTCCTGCATGTCATGGAGGGGATGAGGATGAAGTGGAGGAAGCAGGAAGGCAATGAAGGGGATGGCCACGTGAAGGGTTTGACTGGGTATGGGTATGAGTGCCCTTCTCCGGAGGGACTTACCGAAACTTTACAAACCCATTCAGCGTCCACGCTCGAAGTTTTAAGGGCTCCAGCTGAATTTTAAACATCAAGCTGGCTAAGAAGTCTTCTCCCCAGGAGTGTGGGAAGCTCCGGAAAGCTCCTCGGGCCTGTAGTGGGGGTGCTGCTGGGGGTGGGCAGGAGAGCACTGTGCGCTTAAACATGCCCAGCCAAGCCCCTCACCTCTGAACGCTCCGCGGAGCCGGCCTGGAGTGCTGCAGCTCTGGAAGCCACCTCCTCGGACTCTCAGAGGCGCGTGCCCAGCAAGGGCTGTCTGGCGCAGCAGGTGCCGGACCTGATCCCCAGGTGTGGAGAGTGAAGGGAGAGGACCCACGGCCACCTGCTCTCAGGTGCAGCAGTGTCTGGCTGGCTGTGAGCGGCTGTATGGCAGTGTGACAGTGAGGCTGGCAGTGCAAGCGTGTTTGTGAGTGGCAGTGTGTGTACCTGTGACAGGTGTGATTGTGAGGGCCCGAGAGGCAGTGAGCTGCTGTCGCCTCTCCCTGGGGAGGACCCGACCCCAATCCCCAAGAACCTACTCAATGAAGTCACTGACGGGAGTCTCCTCCCTCGCGGATGGGCGGGGCAGAGCGAAGCTCGGCCCGGACAAAAGGCGCGGCGCGGAGAGGAGGGGAGGGGGCTCGGGCGGGGGAGGGTGGTCGGTGATGTCACCCGCGCTGGCTGGCTGGCCTGCTCACAGACGCCTCCGCCCCACAGAACCCAATCCGGTGCGACCCTCCCCTCCCCTCCCCTCCCCTCCCCTCCCCTCCCCCGGCTCAGAAGCTGGCTGCCCCCTGTGACAGCCAAGCCCGGGTCGCCGACTCCGAACACCCTGCAGACCCCGGGGCCCCGCACCCACAGGGCAGCAGAGCCTACGGGCCCTCTGTGTCCCAACCCCTCCTCCCCCCGCCCCGATACCAGGAGCCCTGGCTTCGCGACGCCCCACTCCCGGGACCCCCGAGTCCTGGCTCGGCGCCCTCACCGGTGAGGAGCTGCGGGCGCCGCCGTGGTCCGTGAGACAGTCGCTGCCCCCTCCCCCGGCTCCGACTCAGCCGCCTCCACCCGGGACAGGAGTCGCCTGCCCGCCGGCCGCCGACAGCGGGACCGGGAGCCCGCCCCCCCCCCCACGGCTCCGCCTCCGCGCCGCCCATTGAGCCTTCTGCCCGTCACTCAACTCAGCCTCTGCTGTGATTGGACAGCTTTCAACGAGCGGCTTGGTGATAACCGCCCATCCTCCGCCCCTGTCACCCGGCCACACGCGCACACATTCCAAGCAGTAATTGGTGTGGATCTGATTGGCGCCCTCTGGGATCACTCAACCACGCCTCTTTGCCATCTCGTCGTGCCATTGGTGAAAAAGACAGAGGGCGGCAACCCCGCTCGCCCTTTGATTTTATTGGTTCATGCTTGAGACTCAGACCCGAGCCCGAGGCAACTATATTAGTCCAATCTCCGAGTTGAGAAGGTGGGACGTACTGGCCACTGCTCGAATCCCAGGAGAACCTTCTGGAACCCGTGCGACGTCAAAGGCAGCCTTAAAGGAAAACTGCACCCACCAGTTGGCCGTGCATTCTTTTTTTCCTTAATTGGGGGACAGGGGGAGAGAACAGTGCACTCTGGGAGGTGTAGTCCCTGGACCGGGGCCAAAAGGTCAGCACTTCTTACTCGCCTTCCAGCCAACGGTGAAGCCACCTCGAGCTGACCTCATTTAGCTTTACCTTACCCTCACCCCGCGGTGGCCTGACGTGACCTAACGGAATCTCTAACAGACTCCACGGACCCGGGTTTCCGAGCCCTCCGGACCTCTCCCCTGAGGGAAGTGGGTAGCTCTGCACAGTCCCGTGCCTCCAGGAGTCTCTCCCGCCCACCCTCTGTACAGTCCCTCATCCTCGCGCCCCTCCTCAGCGACTCCGCGGTCCCCATTTCAGTCCCCTTTCTAATCAGTCTCTCATCCTGCTTCCCCTTGAGTGCCTGTGTTTTAGCCCTTTCCTTCTTGGCCCTCGAAGATCTCCTGTCTTCTCCCAGTGATCTGTCTTGTCCCATTCTTGGTCCTTTCTCTACACCCCTGATCTCCCCCATCCTAGCTCTCCCCTTTAATTTTTCATCTCTCTCCCCATGATCCCCTTCCTTAACACCCTCAGACTCTCTAGTCTCCCCCACTCCCCATTAAGTCATTAGATCTCAGCCCCAGTGTCCCCGATGCAGGGAGCAGGCGGGGATGCGGAGGCGGTCGCCGGCGGAAGCCGCCGCTCGAGCAGACATGGTGCCTGGCGCCCACGTCACTGTCTCCCAGGCCCATCTGTGCTCGAGGGAGTGGGGGTGGGGGGTAATCTGGGGGTGAAGAGGGAAGGGGGGTGCCGGGGGGTTGATGATAAAGGAAGGGTCAGGGCAGAAGCACTCCTTTACTTCTTTCTTTCCTATTTCCCAGAGAGAGAGAGTTTGGACACCCATGAGGGAGGCCTTGCTAGAAACTGCGGCTTGAGTACCTGGGCCAAGAGTGAGAAGGGAGGGGGCCGGGATCCTGGGGTCAGGTCTGCAGATTCTTCACTACCTGACTTCGTGCCAGGAGTCTCTATGGGGATCCCAAGGGTAAAGGGGCATGAGGTGTGGAGGAAGAAAGGGACTTGGGGTGAGAGGAGGATGGAGATGAGGTAGAGTTGGGCCCAGGAGAGGAGCAGAGATGGGGTGATGAATATGGGGAAAGAGGAGCATGAGGAATTTGGGAAGATGGAGTTGAGAGAGGGGAGGTGGGGAGGGGGGTGGAGAGAGGAGGGGGAGATGGGGTGAGGGAGATGGGGAAGGGAGGGGCATGGGGCAGAGGAGAGAAAGGGTGGGAGTAAGGAGGGGAGAGGAAAGAAGGGCTGAGGAGGGGCGGGGAGGCAGGGTGAGGGATGAGGAAAGAAGGGGTGAGCAAGGAAAGGATGAGGCACAGAGATGGGGTGGGGAGGAATGAGGAAGGGGGAGGAGAGGAAGGAGGGATGGACTAGTGTGACAGAGATGGGTGAGGTGGGGTGAGGGGCCCTGTACCCTGCTGGCTCCTCAGATGGGGGCTCTCACTCTCCCACCTCCAGACCTGTGGGGCCCAGGCTGTGGGTGGCTCTACTTCTTCCTATCCCAGTTCTGTCTTTTTTGCCTCCCCCAGCCTTGCCTGTGCCAACACGGAGGCAGAGAGTTTAGTCACCAGCCTTTACCTGGCCCCTGCTAATGCTAAAGTGTAGGCTTGGACCTTCGAGGGTGTGGGATTGTGCCTTCAGGTGTTGATGGCATAGACTCTGTTGTCTGCCTAGTCCAAGGTTCCTCCCCTCGGTCCCATTGTCCTGGGCATCAGGTGTTTGTGGTGCTCAATGTGGCATGGACCGTGACAGTGTGTGGTGCTCAGTGTGGTATGGACGGTGACAGCGTGGTCCTGGAGTCTGTGGACGCTGTGAGCTTACAGGCCACATTCACACCTCATCTCCTTCTTTGTAAATGGAGATCAGTGCCTCAGGGGGTTGTTGAGAGGGTTAATTAAGGTAATGCAGATAATGCACATAGTTCTGAGCTGGGCATGTAGTTTATACCCAACCAATGGTTAACTTGGTTGAGTTAACCAAGTTAACCATTACTTTTCATGTTCACAAATGCTGGGACTGCGAGTGCATCCATAAATCTGAGTCTGATTGGGAGTTATTTGTAGTGTGGTACTGGTAATGTGATTTATGAGAGTGGATCTGTGTAGTTATTTTTGTGTGGTGGTGTGCCCAATTCTGTTACATGTTGTAGGTATATGATTTTGGGCCAGTGTACATGTGTGAGTAAATGACTGTGGGGGCATGTCTCTACATGACAGAGTGGATGAGGTATGTGGCTGTTGACAAGTTGACACTATGTCTGCCAGCGTATGCACACATCTGCGATCATGCCAGTCCCAAACGCCCCCACTCGCCCTCCCTCCCCTTGGAGACGTCATAACCCTAGGTGTCCCTCATTTCCTCACCCTGAGGGAACCGGAATCTGTGGGCAGGGGTGGGGGTGGTTGCCAGTGAGGAGGTGTTTTAGACAGAGGCACATGTTCCCTCCCAGACTGCATAGGGAAGGGAGCCCCTATCCTGCTCACATCCCGAAGGCTGCAGAGGAAGTGCCCCCCAGCCTGTTCTCAGTTCCCTGTCTTGTCACCATGGTAGCAGTTGCTAGGGGTTCCCATGGTTGCTAAGATCTGGGTGTGGGAGGCTGCCAGGCCCTGTTGCCAGTAGAAACAGAGAATCCTGGGGGAAAGGAAGACTACCCCCACAGCTGCCAGCTCTCTGCAGTGACAGAACTAGCCTTTGGGCCGCTCTCTCCCCCAGTTGTACCTATGATTTGTATGTGATAGTACTAGTGTGTGTGTGGGAGCAGGAGCGGGGGTTTTAATAGGAATCCACAACTAGAATACTGGGATACTAGAATACTGAGGAAAAGGGGGCTCCTTGGCCTACCCGTCACCATCCTTAAAGTTGGGAGGGCCTTACAAATTAGTGACTACCCCCATCTCTACTAAAATACAAAAAAAGTTAGCCAGGCTTGGTGGCGCATGCCTGTAATCTCAGCTACTTGGGAGGCTGAGGCAGGAGAATTGCTTGAACCCAGGAGGTGGAGGTTGCAGTGAGCTGAGATTGTGCCACTGCACTCCAGCCTGGGCAACAGGCTAGAGACTCCCTCTCAAAAAAAAAAAAAAAAAAAAAAGAGTGACTACCTCCTTCTGTTCCTCATCTCTCTCTCCTGGGCAGTCTCCCTGCTTGTTCTTGAGTTCTTCAATGAGTGGGTACTCATTACCTGATGCTTTTTCCTGGGTGTAGGAATGCCACGTTGACCCATTACCTTGGCTACAGATGGCCTTCCTCCTGTGATCAGACTCTGAGCGTCTCACCTGATACATGCTTCATGCTGATACCCAGGCCCAGACTTTGGTCCCACACTGAGTCCCAACTATGACTTCAGCCTGAGACACAACCTGGTTATTGTCCTGGTAGAGACAGTTCCCCAAATCCAGCCTCTGCCTAAACCCTCCTCCTAGACATTGCCGAGCCCTAGTTTTGATACAAATACTTGAACTCATCTTCAGATTCAGTTCTGATCCTATACTGAACTAACTGAACACTACCAGGGGTCTGCCTCTGATACTTGGCGTCTGTTTGCGTGTTCTGAACCTATGCAGACCAGCCCCGAAAGGGTTCAGAGGAGTGATTTTTTGCCTTGGGATGAGAGAGCAATGTTAGGGATGACCGGTAGAGGGCGTGCAACATCAGGTTCTAGAGGCAAGCGTCCAAGAGCCCACCTGTGAACTGAAAAAAAGTTCTTGTTTTTGATGCCAAAACTTTGGGGTTATGTGGGTCCTTACAGTCATGAATCTTTTCCTTCTGGCTCACTTGGGCTCAGTTCTGGGCATGCACAGAATGTGCTTAACTGTTTGCTGGCATCTTGGGTCTCAAGAGGACTGAAGTGACCCCACCCTCAACTCAGCATTTCTGTCATATGCTTAATAAAGCTCCACTGCCTTCCCTGGTAACCAGTTATGTTTGGTCCTAGAGCAGAAATCTGCCCTCCATAGTGTTCACATTTCATCTTAGCTCTGTCCTTGGGACCACATTGACCTCATTGGCCCATCTGCCAAACGTTACCATCTGCGTCCTTCAAATCTGCTTCTCTACAGGACTCATAACTTCATGGGTTCATCCCCTGCATTTTTCAATTCTACCCACTAAGATCATGTTACCCTGAATGGGTTTCAGTTTGTGGTGCCCAGTTATGATTAGTTTTTTCTAGGAGAGCTGGTGCAGGGTACAAATGAGCTGGCCAGCCTCCCTTCTCTGACTCTGAACTTCTTTCTACATAGGCTCAGATTATATCAGTTTTTTTTTTTTCTTTTGAGACAGAGTCTGACTCTGTTGCCCAGGCTGGAGTGCAATGGCACAATCTGGGTTCACTGCAACCTCTGCCTCCTGGGTTCAAGCGATTCTCCTGCCTAAGCCCCCGGAGTAGCTGGAACTACAGGTGGGTACCACCACACCCGGCTAATTTTTGTATTTTTAGTAGAGACAGGGTTTCACCACGTTGGCCAGGCTGGTCTTGAACTCCATACCTCAGGTGATCCACCCACCTTGGCCTCCCAAAGTGCTGGGATTACAGGTGCGAGCCACCGTGCCCAGCCTGTTTGTTTTTTTGGTAGCCACCTCATACTGTTCACCCATACTGAGTTAAGACCACAAGCTCGAGGCCAGGCGCTGTGGCTCACGCCTGTAATCCCAGCACATTAGGAGGCTGAGGCGGGTGGATCACGAGGTGAAGAGATCTAGACCATCCTGGCCAACATGGTGAAACCCCGTCTCTACTAAAAATACAAAAAATTAGCCGGACGTGGTGGCACATGCCTGTAATCCTAGCTACTTGGAAGGCTGAGACAGGAGAATCGCTTGAACCCAGGAGGCGGAGGTTGCGGTGAGCCGATAATGTGCCACTGCATTCCAGCCTGGGCAACAAGAGCGAAACCCCATCTAAAAGAAAAACACCACAAGCTCTTTTCTCCCTGAGCTGCTAAATCACCTCTTGTTCATCTGTACTTGTTACAATTTTGAATGGAGAGCTATATTCATTTTAAACAAAGATCCTTGAAATAAAATTTAAAAAATTTGTTGACAATACATTCTCAATTTTAGGGTAATCTTTGGGCTTGGAAATCTCTGAACTTGATGTTTACTCAAAGGTGGGACAAGGAGGGACTAAAGGTCCTCAGTGGGCTTGGCTGTGACTTCAGCACTTTGGACAGAGCTCATCACAGTACCCCCAGCTATGCCTGGGACTATGGGAGGGTGGAGATGATACACTCACAGCCTTCAGATGGAGCAGAAATCCTTGCTACTCACTCAGTGTCTTACAGTCTGTAAAGCTCTCTCCTCTTACAAAACTCCTCAATTCCCAGCCCAGGAAGCTGACGGGACAGGGGCTGTTCTAGATTTTACAGTTGAGGAAACTGAGGTTCAGCAAATTCAACCTCCAAGCAACCCTTAGAAAGGATGAATGGGATAGAGAGCACTACTCCATGTTTAGCAAATTTAGCAGCCATCGATTCTCTTAGGGAATGACTCTCCCCAGGGATAAAGAGGAAATGCATTTCAGCCAGAGCAGGACCAGGTGGATGTAGGTTTGTATAGAACTGAGGCCCTAGCCAGCCCTGGGAGCAAGTGGCAGTTGGTGGGAGGAACAGTCTTCAGAGGGTCTAAAGTTCCAGCCAGGACTGCTGAACTGAGGGCAGGGAAACATTCATTAGGGCCCACAGACACCTAGTCTTTATGCCTCTTTTTCTGTCCCAATGCTTAGCTTCACTGAGCCTGGAGACAAGGACAAGGGGCTGGTGGGATGTCATTAAGCTGCTCTTGGTCTGATGGACCCCATGTGAAAACCTCAGGGAGGAGAGGTATGGGAGCTTGGTGAGTGGATGGGGTGAATTGTGCAGTGTTAAGATATCCATGTCATGGCTACAGGCCTGGTTACCTGTCTATGTCTATTCCCAGGGTGGAGAGGGAGGTGCTGGCCCATACAGCAGTGGTTCCTTTGAGGTGTGCTTTGAGAGGAAGCACAACAAAGTGGCTAAGAACATGTCCTCTGAAGGCAAACCGCCTGGTTCCCCCACTTCCTGTGTGATTGTGTAACCTTGAGAAACATGGGCTCTCTGTTCCTTTTTCTCACCTGTAATAAAAAATCTCATAGGGTTATTGTGAAGATTAATGACTCTATGCAAAGCACTGCCAAGTGCGTAGTAAGTGCTCAAAAAATGTTAGAAACTACTTGTACTCTGGATCCCCTATGGTTTTGGAGGTAGAATATCAGCCTCTGATCCACAGCCTAGAGATGCTTTCTCACCTACAGGTATTGGCTCTCTTCTCACCAGATAAAAGGGATGAAGGGGATCTCACAGTCCTCCAAATGCATCTCCAATCTTAGTTTTCTCAACCCTATCATATTACATTAAAGCAATTTGTCAAAATGGGGAGGAAACACTCAGACCAGGAGAAAACAGCCAATGAGTTTTCCTTACTTTTAGCTCAGGAGGAACTGGGAAGTGTCTAAAACTGGCCCTGGGGCCTGGCATGGAGGAGAGAGAACACATAGCAGACAGCCTTGGAGACCTTATGACCTCATCCTCATTTTCTCTGAAAGCTCTGGCTCCCTGCTTCAGTGTTTTATCTGTGCTGGATACAGAAATATCAGTATCTCTGTATCGGTATGTGTGGTGCCCCTACCTCCACCCATCTCTTGATTCTTGGGAAGGTCATGGCCAGGAGAGCTCTAGAAAGTCACAGCATGTTGTATCCTTTCTGGCGGCCGCAGCTGCCCCTTTCTTATACTCAGACCCAGGAATTGGTCAATGATGGGAAACCACACAGAAATGGCAGGTTCCCCAAACAACAAGAAACAGGAAGCTGATAGAGCATCACAGTCGCTTTATTATGATTTCTACTGTGCCCAGCCTCAGGGCATCAGCTCCTTCTGGAGTGCTGTGAAGGCTGGGTCACGCAGAGGAGCATGCAGCTGTAGAGATGGGGAGACAGGGCTTGGGGACGTTCCCCTCAGCTGACTGTCAAGTTACCTTCTTCAGAAAAGCACATGGGAAGGGCATGAAGGACCAGAGCGCATTGGATTTCCCAGTGTTACTCAAGTGTTCTCAGAGTCCCTCTTACAAGCTTGGGTTTGGCTGGGAGACAGATCACAGGCCAGTCCTTGATGGCAGGAGGCTAATCTTGAAGGCCTTTGTGTCACCATGGCTATGGAAAGGCCTGGCTACTTATAATTTGACGTTCTCAACTGTGGTCATGCCTACCCAGTGCTATAGAAACTGAAAGGTGACTGAGCTTCTTAGTCACTGGCCCAGACCAGAGCTGACCCCCTTTCCATGGGCCACTGGGGCATGTGGCCCAGAGGGAAAAAGCTTTTCCTTAGTGCTAGTAGAAATTCTGTAATCTGTTTATTTTCTTTTCAAGGTTGCCAAAAATAGTGGCAGCAGAAAAGCAACAGCAGAGAAAATGCCCAGTCCCACCCCACACCAGGGCTGAGCTGTCAGGAACAGGCATGATGCATGAATATCCCCCACTCCAGGAGATCTTGCCATTGTCTGGGTTGCAGCCAGGGGCCCAGAGAGATATCCTGGGCAAATTCAAACTAAGTGGTAGGAGAAAGTAGCAATTTTTCCGATAAGAGCATGAAATAAGGAAAAGAAAAAAAAATTAAAAAAAAAGAAAATAGGAATTTTATTTCACTGTAAATAGAGGAGGTCTAAAAAGGGACTGTGGTGACAGGTACTGCCAGGATGTCCCAAAGTTCTGGCATCAGAACTGTTCTGCCTTTTAGGGCCATGTGTCTATCTGTCTTCACTCTGATGGTCTGAAGGGAACATGCTTGCAGGATCACTAGAGTCAGCTACCAGTTCTCAGTCCTGCCTGAAGTTTCTCTTGGCTCTGGGATGGGCCTGGCTGGCCTGTGGCCCTGCCAGGCAGCTTCTGCTGACCTCCCCTCTTGGCTTTTGGGTTTCCTGGCACCACTCTGACTGAAGCTGTGAAACCTGCAATGGTTGAGGTTGTGCTTTAGGCTATGGGTCCTGGGTACAACCCTGGGACTCACTCCCCAGTGAGGTGCCCCTCTTCCCAGGTAGTTTAATTCTGTGCTTTTGATAATCGTGACAGAAATAAGGGGATCCTAAGAATTGGCCACTTAAGCAAGGTCAGGGTGACATCCCATAGGGAGCAGTAGAGGCCAGAAAGGCCGGTATCTGCCCTGCTAGCCCCAGGTGCTTGCACTGAGGGCAGAAAGAGGCAATGTCCTCATGGTTTCTACTATGGCTGTCCTCAAATGAAGAGGGGAACTTGAGGGTTAGGTCAGTAACTAGGAGTAAGGGGACTGCTCCATCCCTGGGACACCCTAGGGGCCCTTGCTCAAGTGTTCTGTTGGGGAAGGCTGGGCTCAGGAGAGGAAGCCAAGGGGCAGACTTGGAGAGATCTCACGGCCAGGGCCACTGCCTCAGGTGACCCTCGGACCCCGTAGCTCCACCGCATCATCCAGCTGCCCCTTCGTTGACAGCTGAACATGGGGAAGAGGAATGCCAGGTGAAAAACACTTAGGGAAAGTGGCCTTCAGAGGAGCCTATCTGTAACTCAGGCCTTCGTTGGTTGGAAACACTGATCTCAAATTTGGGTAGCCAAGAAGAAAAGACTGAAATATTTTCTCATACCCTTATTGGAGCCTGATGCTAACATTTGGACTTGGCAGAATTTTAGCAAGTCACAGTGATGGGAGAGCTTGAAAAGGAAAGGAAGTGGGCTTCACTAGGTTTCTGAACGTTTTTAACATCTCTATACATACCACAGAGGGGCTCTGGCAATTAGGACACTGCAAAGGGAGACTCTGGATGGGGGGCTGGGGCGGGGCTTCTGCAACTCTGGACTTGGGGAACAATGGCACTTCCCCTTTGGTAAAAAGTTAGATGCCTATGGAGAAGATGCCAGCTGCTCCTTTGTGCTTTTCTGTTTCCTAGGACTCTTGTGAGCTGGGAAATCTATTCTTCGCTGGGGAAGTGCCCCCTGGGATCTCTGTTGCAGGCCCTCACCCAGGAAGATTGCTATTCTGGAACAGGGCGAAAGGTGATCCCAAATGGGCCTGCACCTGTTGTGGAAGAACTCCGGGGCTGCTTTGCCAGGCCCTGGAATATGGCAGGCCTGACCTGGCCCACCGACTCTCCTCACTCACCAGCGGAGAGCTAGAGGCAGCAGCTCCAAAGAGGTAGGCATCACCTTGATCTGTGAAAGATCAGAGAACAAGACGGACTTCTAGTCCCTGTGACTGATGAGGCAGGAAAAAATGCTGTTCAGCTCTCAAAGCCCAGAGCTTGTCTTTACTCAAAATGCCCTGTGAGATTGAGCAGCCCAAGGCCACTGGCACAGAAGATGATTTGCCAGGAGAGTAGGTAAGAGCCCTTGTGCTTAATGTGCTTTAATCTTCTCAGTGCAAAACCCCAGGCCTGGCTGCTTCAGATGCAGTTCCTGGGCCCAGGAGTCTTGCGCTTTCTTTTTTTGACTAGACAGAATAATGGCCCCTCCTAAGGATGAGTCCTGGGGGATGGCTAAAGAGTATTTCCCAAAGCTGTGGGCCACACACCTGAGCCCAGATCCATCTCCTGTCTGCTTTATTTCAGTCCCAAATAATCCAACCCCAGCAGCTCACCACCCTGCTTCCAGCTCAGGCGGTTCCTACATCAGGAGACTACACAGGGCTCTCGCCAAGCCCCTGGCTGCAGCTCCCTGGTTTCCTGAAACATTCAGCACTGAGCGGTGTGTGCTTTCTTCTGTATGCACCTGATTTAGCACAAGGGCCTCGAGCAATAAAGATGTGTTTGCTTCTGCATGACTGCGCTCCACTCCCTTTTGAATAACTCTTGGTAGTCAGATCTGGCTATGCCTAAGTCATTGGGTTGGAAATAGAAGCCTAGAACCTGGACCCCAGGGCCAGGATGAGCCATAACACGCAGACTGGAGAATTTGAATTTGATGAGTACTTAGGAAGGATGAGGGTTGCTGGGCTTGGAGGCCAGGCCTGGTGCTCTCGTGGCAGCCTCTGATTGTCCCAAAGGGCCTCCCATGCCAGGCCCAGGCCCTAGCCTGGTGAGGAAGGACATGTGGTGAGCAGCGAGGAGAAGCTGCCACTCGGGCCATGCATGTCTCAGTGGCAGGGAGAAAGGGAAACCTTTCCTTCTGTAAGGCTTTCCCAGGACCTTCTCTGCAGAGCCTCTTCTTAAACCCCAGCCTCTTATCCTCTTTGTCAGGATGGCTGAAAGAGTCCCTGTTCAGGGCTCTGCAGAGCTGCTCTTTCTTGGGCTGTGGATGGTGTCTACAGTGAGTTGAGCTGAAATGAGGAAGCACGAGCCCCATTCTCTCCTCTTCCTCCAGAGTGTGCTCTCCTCAGTCTCTGTGGTCGGTGACTTGGGTGAAGCATCTAACACAGAGGGCTGTGGCTCCCGCCAGTGTGTTTGTTCCATTCAGGCCCCCTTGGCCTGGGCCATGGACTACCATCTGAAAAACAGGGGCCAAGAAGGCTCACCTCGATTTTTGACTATCCTGCTAAAGACTTGTGGACTCAGGTGATCTCACTGAGAGGTTCCTAGAATCCTGGGTCCCTGGGAAAGGCTGCCTCCCCTTCTTCTAGTCAGGATTCCCTAGGCTAGTTGCCTTCCCTGTCACCAGGAATTGGAATTTAAATAAATAAAGGGCTGAACTGCAGTGGTGATGTTTAACAATTTTCCCTACTCAGTACAGCCAAGGTACACAATGCATGCTTGCTAGTAACAGTGGCTCACCGCAGAAGGGATTTTCATGGGGGAAGTGGGGCCTGTTAGCATCTCCAGGATCTCCAGGCAGGCATGCGAGTCTGACATGCCCTCTTATTAAGAATCACTTGGCCAGAGAAATCAGAACTGGCCAGAGAAATCAGAACTATTGGAAGTCAGAACTGGCCAATTGAAGGGATGAGTAAAGACCCCCTCCTCTATACGAGGGGCTTCAGAAAGGGACTTTGGTCCTTTCTCAACCAAAAAGAACCAGGCTTCTGAAGGCATGGACAGCTGGGCAGTATGTGCACACCCATATGCCTGTGGTGGCAGGTCCCATCTATGATGTGGGGCAGGGGCGGTCCAGGAGAGGATGCTGCCACACTACCAGGGCTTCTCCATGTGGCAATGCATTCACTGCCTCTGTTGTGAGGGGAATGGTGATTTCAGTGTCATAAAGCTTAGTGACGAATTAAGACGCTGGCAGTGTCCCAACCCCATGAGTCTCAGTGCCAGAGGTTGGTGGGGGAATGGAGAAAGGAAAGGGGGAGAGGATGTCACTGTCCTCAAACCAAGCTTCTCTGCTCCATGTTATCCTGGGGGTTTCAGGTGAATGGCTGCACTGTTGGGGCGAGCAGCCAGGATGTAGAGGACGTTCTCTTGCAGGAAGGTAGGCCAGTCCACAAATCTGCAGTGGAAGCAAAGAACAGAGTTGTGATGCTGGTTTAAAGATGTGTGACCCCTGATCCCAGGGGCAGCATGGCTTGGCTACACAAAACTCAGGGAAACCTTGGCTCATGCTTGACCTGGTTATGGCTGGTTGTGCTACCAAGCCAACAGACCAGCTAGCTGTCCCTACAGACTTGGGTCGAATGTGCACTCTTGGAGCCTGGTTTCATGGCTGGGCACTTGCTGTTTTGGAGTGGGAATGGGTAATGCCCTCTCTTACTTGTGTGTCTTAGGGGGGTGTTCAGAGAGTACACATTTGTGAGGAGGTCCCACTTACCTGGACTCCTGCTCTGTGGGCAGCAGGCTCTTGTCCTGACTCTTGCTGCTGCTGCTGGCTGGGCTGCTATCTGCGATGGGACCCACATGGCTGATGCTGCTGGGTGTGAGGACACGTGGTTAGGAGTGCGGTAGTGAAATGCCTGGCCCCTCCTAAACTCTGGTAAACCCATGGCTCTGGATGTGCTCATCCAGGCTTTTCTGACATGTAGCAAGACCAACTTGAAGGTAGAGGCTGCCCTATGCCCTGGCCTGTAGGCATCACCATCCTCTACCTAGTGCACAGGAGGCTCCTCTCCAGTTGTTGGCAGGGGGAGCAGAAAGGTACAGAAGGGCCACTGGCATGGAAAAGGGAGGCGGAGAGGCTGAGCGGGGCCTGGGACTGGTAAGGAGCAGACCTGACACTGCAGGAGGGAGCCTCTGGGAACCGTTTGCAAAACCAAGAGTGCTGGGCCCGGCGGCACTCCGCCTCACTGATGGTGCTCCCACTGCCCTGCGCCAGGAAGGTGGCTCGGGCTCGTTCCCGCTCCTTCACTGTCAGAAGCCTCAACAGAGAGTTCTGGAGAAGAAGAGACAAGATCTTAGAGTAAAAATATCTTGTAAACTGCCAAGACATAGAGAATCCTACCTCCATTACCGCCTTTGCCACCCCCCCTTAGAAGTTGTCCAGAGCCTTTCTGGTAGCACCAACATTTCCAGTGTGGTCCAGGGCAAATCAGTCTTCCTTAGGCAGTTTCCTCAGCCTGGGCACTGGATCCGCAGTCACTGGTATCAGCCCATTCCTGATACTGGTCCCTGCTCGGGCAGGACCCAGTGCTCCCCTGACCTGCCCAACATGCCTCCCAGGCCCTTTTCACCCAGTATCCCAGGACCATTTGCCCTAGCTGGCCCTCACCTGGGGACGCAACTGCTGCAACAGCAAGAGGGACTCATGGGACAAGAAGTCAGGCCACTCTATGTGGCCTCGATGTTCAGGGTCCAGGGCAGCAAACTGGCGGGCCGCCTGCTCTTCTTGCTCCTCACTCAGGGCCCTGTCACGGTCCCCCCGCTTTGCTGATTGGTGGCGGTAGCGCAGGAAGTCCTCCAGTGTCAGGGAGCAATCTGTGGGAGGCCATGCCCATCATTCCTCAGCCTCAGGGCATCTCCATCACCTCCAGGGCACCCTTGGGGTCCCCACACCCACAGTTCTTGCTGAGTCTCTGCCTCCCATGGCCAGGGTCACCCAGGCTGTAACGGGGTGGGTGCCTCTGCTGGCCAACAACTCAGGAACAGGGACCCATTTACCCTGTACCCACTAAATATGGAATACTCCTTTCATGGTTCATCCTAGAAAGCATGAAGGAGTAGGCCGGGTGCCATGGCTCACGCCTGTAATCCCAGCACTTTGGGAGGCTGAGGCAAGCAGCTTACAAGGTCAAGAGATTGAGACCATCCTGGCTAACATGGTGAAAACCCATCTCTACTGAAAAATACAAAAAAAATTAGCTGGGCCTGGTGGCGCGCACCTTTAGTCCCAGCTACTCAGGAAGCTGAGGCAGGAGAATTGCTTGAACCTGCAAGGCGGAGGTTGCAGTGAGCTGAGATCGCACCACTGCACTCCAGCTTGGCGCCTGGCAACAGAGCAAGACTCTGTCTCCAAAAAAAAAAAGTAAGCATGAAGAAGTAATCTGCCTGACCCCTCTCCATTCAAGCAGCACCACCCAACCTTACCAGGGATGACTTTACACCGCTGAAAGGTCTCTGTGAGGCTGTACATTTCCTCCTCAGTAAGCAGCAAGTTGATGTTGTCCTGAAAATGAGAAACAGCTGAGATGGTGGCCACACAGGCTCATAAGAAAGGCCAAAGTCAAGAGGGATAGAAATAGAATTTCAACTGGAAAGCAATTCCAAGATCTAATCCCAGCCTCCTATTCACAATCAATGAGATTGAGGCTCCAGAGAGGGGAAGGAACTTGGCCAGAGTTGTCTTTACTCTGGTGCAGAATCTTCCCCAAAACCCAGATATCCTGACTCCAGCCCTGAGTCCCTTTACTAAAACAGTGGTTTCCAATGTATCCTCTGAGCTAACCTAGGGATTTCTTGGAAGTGCCTTAGGAAGCTGCTGCAGGGAATAAGGGGGCTAGTGAGTGGGCAGGTTGTGGATCCCTATCTCCATCAACCAGAGTGGCTCCATCTTCATCCCTTTTATCGACTTGGTTTCTATGTTAGGCTGTGCTAAAAATGTATTTTAGTTAAAAAAAAAGTTTAATCCTAGCTCTGCTCCAAGTGGGTTGTATCACTTTAAATAACTCTAGAATGGTTTGAAAAGATGCCATCATTACAAGGCTCCTAAAGCCAAATGAGTTTTTTGTGGTGCCACAGAAGTTTTAATTCCAAAGGAGCACCAATACCTTATTTTGTTGACATTACCATACAGTTTTTAAACTGTCAAAGATCCTTTCTAGTACAAGGTTACTTTCTTCATCTAAAATATCAGCAAAGTACAAGAGCAGATATTTCATGAGTACTCATATGTGGATTTCATAAAGAACTCAAACCATTCTTTTTCTTCCGTAACACTTTAAAAAAATTGATATATAATAGTAGTATTTTTCTTTCAAACCATACTTTCAATAAACGCCTGCTGAGCACCTAGTATACACTGGGCACTTCAGTGGTGTCTAACACTGTGAGATGTTCAGTGTGGCTGGAGTTTGGTGTACATGTGAGTGCGTGTGTGAGGGAAGGAGGGAGCATACTATGAAGTACCTCCAATACCCTTCATCGAGCCCCTTAAATTAGGCCTTTATTCTGAGGGCAAAAGGGAGGCACCAAAGGGTTTTCAAGTGGGGAGTGCCGTGGTCAGATATCTGGCTGCTGTGTGGAAGATGGATTAGAGGGGCAGAGTCTGGAGGTGTGGAGAGCAGTTGGAGCCTGCTGCAACAGTCCAGGCAAGAAATGATGAGCGGCTAAACTGAGACATGAGAATGAAGAAGGGAAGAGAGATGTGAGAGATATTAGAGGCAGCATCAACCAGGCCTGATGACTCACTGGATGTGAGGCATGAGGGAGAGAATGAATTGGGATTGATAACTGGGGCATGGTATTACTATTCACAGAGATAAGGAGTGGCGGAAGAGCAGGCTTGGGGGCAAAGATGAGCTCATTTTTGGGCATGATAAGTGTGAGGTACCTGTGAGATATCAAGGTGGATAAGTGCAAGAGACAGGAAATTTAGGTCTGGACACACAAATATAGGAGTCATTAGTGTTTAGATAGTGGCTGTAGATGAAGTCACCCAAAGAGGGTACAGTGAGAAAAGAAGAGTGTTAAACAACAGAACCCTGAGAAACATAGGACTGAGACAACAAACTAACAAAGGGCATTGAGAAAAATGGTCAGAGACACAGGCTGGAAGACAATCAGTAGAGAAAAGGGTCCTGGATAGCGAGCAAAGACAGCTGCATAATGTGGGAGGCAATGTTAACGGTGGTTACACGACTGAGGTGGGATTTTATTGACTTTCTATTTTCTCTCATCTCCATATCTTATGTAATAATTCCCATAAAAATCCTTAAATCCTAAGGAAAAGAGAGAGGAATAAAGAAGTAGTAAATACTTCAGAGAGATCAAGTAAGAAGGTGCTTCAGAAAAGGTGAGTGGACTTGACAATTAGGAGGTGACTGGTGACCTTAGGAAGGGACAATCCTGCCGGATGATGGATGCAGATGTCAGATTATAGTTGGTCAAGGAGCCATAGGAGATGATGAAATTCTTTTAAGAAGCTTGGCTGTGGGGCCAACTGCAATGGCTTGCACCTGTAGTCCCAGCTACGCAGCAGGCTGAGGCAGCAGGATTGCTTAGGTCTAGGGGTTCGAGGCTGCAGTGTTATGATCACACAACTGCACTTCAGCCAGGTGACACAGTGAGATCCTGACTCATAAAAAGAGAAAATAAAAAAAGAAGGGAAGGAAAGAAAGGAGAGGTACTTGGAAGGGAAGGAGGCTTTGTAAAAAGTCCAGCAGAGCATGGTGGCAATGATGGTAGGACTGTGTCAGAAAGCTGGGAAGGGAGCAATGTGCTCCTGGGGGTTAGGGAGGTGACACCTTCAACCCAGTCCAATAGCAGCAGCACACCTCAAAGCAGAGTGGCTGAGATGAAAGGCTGGCATCCAGAGGGGACGACAGGCACCAGAGAAGGTCGCTGGTAGAGCAGGGTCTGCTGCGGTGCACTCCAGGGGACAGGTGTTTAAGTGGCTGAAAATAACTGTTCCATAACAGGCCATAGAGAAAGCATTATTTGTTAGAAAGTGGCACATTTCTTCTTTCATCTAAGCAGCAGGAGGGGGGATCAGCGGGTGCTCCTCACTCTGAAATCAGTAAATAATGATGATATCTGCAGGAAAACAGATCAATAAGGCAAGACTTGAACTCTATTCAGGTGTAGTGAGAAATGGATATAAATCTGGCTTTCAGTGGAAACCTCAGCCTCTGTCCTTCATTAAAAGTTATAAGGCATTTATATATAATTTTCGAAGTTCTGAATCAATAGAGCTTTGTCATTTAATTCACATAATAACCACTTTAAAGAGGAAGAGCAAATGCTTGTAAGAGTCAGGTGGCAGGCCAAGTGAGGATCTCAGGCCTAGCAAGTTTTCCTATGATGAAATCTACCCCTATTGGAAGCAAGCTGGTTATTATCTCAGGTTAGTTTTGAGATGGATACAGTGAATGACAACTATAGACTATTAGAGAAAGAGCTGCAGAATTCCAAGCAGAATTACTTTTGAGTAATCAGGCCCCAGTCAATCTCCCAGCTCAGAGGTTTACTATTGGGGATGATTTTTCTACCTTCACATTGGGATGTGTACTATCAGCATCAAGGGGAGTAGAGGCCAGGGATGCTGCTAAACATCCTACAATGTCCGTGTCCCCCCAAACAAAGAACTAACCAGCCCAAAATGTAGTGAGGTTGAGAAACCCTGTCCTAGCTCTAGGTCTCTTGTGTGTACCACTGGCAGATTCTTTATGTCACTGCCTAAAAACAAGTGTTCTAAGACCAGGCCTCCAGGAAAAGTGCCAAGTCCTCTGCTGTCCCTGTGGTCCAGACTTACACAGTAGTGGCAGCTCCAGCCTGTTTCCGTATGGGCCATCTCCATCACCTCCGCTGCACTGTCTCCTTGGATGTAGCCCATACGGCGCAGGCAGCCATCATGGAAAACCCTGGTGCAGATTCTGCACGGGAAGAGGCTCTCAGCTGTCCAGACCTCACAAACATCACACATCTCATCATTGACAACCTGCGGAAAGATGGCAGGAGGAAATGGGGATGTGTAAGCATAGGCAGCAAGATTCCAAGGCCACTAAGCACAGAGCTACCTGCATGGGGCTGAGTCTTCCTGGATTAGCCTAGAGGAGTGGCTCCAGCTGAAGCCATTGTTCAGGATTTCTTTCTGGAGGTCAAGAACCAGGAGGTTCTTCCGGCTGCTCAGGCCTTTGTGACCATGTTTATGAGCAGGGAGCTACTGGCACTTTTAGAAAGAACAATCTGTTGTGAGAGATTGTTCCAGGCATTGCAGGACATTTATCATCCCTGCTTTTCTTGGTACCAAACACCAGTAGACACCTCGTGTTGTGACCTCCCCAAACTACCCCCTCCCAAATTTCCAAATGCCTCCTACAGGGGGAGTGCTATCCATGGTTGAAAACTCATGGTAGTGGGGGAGAGGGGGTGGGTCGACAGAAGACCTACCATAGCATCATTCTTTATCATCTATTGCCCCAAGCCTTTAACTAAGATGAATCCAGGATAAAACAAATATTGTATCCTTATAGAAGAAATTCCAAGATTGTTTTGGACTCAGCTCCATCTTTCTGGTTTTGAGGAGCACCTTAGCCATATCCAGGCCTCCCTGTCCTGCTCCCTGGTGGGCTAAGCCTGAGGATCCTGTCCTAACTGGATACTCACAGGCTCTCTGGGCTCCAGGCAGATTTCTGGAGGTTTGTCATCATCCAGCTTCCGGATAGGGCGGATGAAAGCAGGGGGTGTGAAGCGGCTAGCCCTCTCAAACTCCTCAGGCTCCACGCCACGCCCATCTCGGAGCCTCTCCCAGGCCGCGCGGCCGGCACTACTCTCTTCCTGGATCACCGCAGTTCCTGCTTCTGCTTCTTTCTCCTCCTGCACCTCCTGGACAGAGCCCTCTACAGTGCCACGGCGGGACCCCGGCAGCTCACCTGTGCGTCGGATGGAAGGCCTGTCCCTCAGCCCATCTTTGAAGGCAGACACAGCCAGACTCACCTTCTGCACCTGCTCCACTGTCTGCCGCTTGGACATCAACACCCCCATGGCTCTGTAGACAAAAAGCAGAGGGGCACAGTTCAGCTAATGGCTGAGAATGTCAGGCCAATCAGTTTCAACCTAAGTGGCAAGTGCTGTTAAATAGTTTCTCCCTCTTCTAGAACATGGTGGGGGTGGAAAGAGCACATGTTAAGGAGTCACAAGATGTTGGTTCTACTTCTTCCCTAAATTTTATTTGTTTGTTTATTTGAGATGAGGTATTGCTATGTTGCCCAGGCTGTTCTTGAACTCCTGGGCTCTAGTGATTCCCTTGGCTCAGCCTCCTGAGTAGCTGGGATCACAGGCCTGCCACCTTGCCTGGATGACTTTGGTTCGATTTCTGACAGACCTTGCAACTTTGGTTTTCCCATCTATGGAATGAGGACTTCCAGCCCACTTCACAGGGATGTCACAAGGATAACATAAGAAAATGGGCTTCACAGTGCCTTGCAAACTGGAAAGCACTCTACGTGCATGAAATGGTATCTCTGTCTGCCTTCCTGTCCTAAAACCAATTTAGTCCAGGGGTCCTGCATCTCTGCTACTTGGAAATGGTTGGAGACTTCAGAATCCATGTTTCTCTTCTACCCTACAAGAAGACTCAAGGCTTAAAGCAAGCTGGCAGCAACACATATTGGGCCTTTTGACAGAAGAAAAGCTCCTTCAGTAAGTGCCGTGCATAATCCATCTGTGGCTAATCCTTACCAAATGCCTACTTTTTAAGTCAATGAACTCCTAGTTTTAGAGGATTCCTGAATTAGTAAGGAAACTCCACCACCCCTATCCATGTAGTCAAGGTCACACAAATACTCCTTTACCCCTTCTCGTTAGTAGCTGTGCCTCTCTGTAGGTCTGTTTATCTATCACAGACACTGGCCTATTATGAAGCTCTAAAGTACCTCTCACACTTCTAAGGCCGCACTAATGTCACTCCCATATTTTCTGCTTTAATTCTTCTGAACTGTTCAAGAAGGGTCCATATCCTTTACAGGTTTAAAAGTAACATTATCCCTGCTCTTCTCTGCAGTATCAGAGTATGGCATTGGACAGTGAGGCATGACATGGCACATTGCAAAGCTGGTCTGCTATTCCCTAGCCTGAGGAGACTTAGTGAAAGTCAGCTGGGGAATGCTTTTTCTAAGTAAAGTGGAGCAGAGTCCATTTTAGCCTTGCTTTCAATCCATTCTAATCAAGGCTTATTGAACAGTGTTATGTGCAAGGCACTCACTGCTCATCATAGGAAACAGAAGACAGGAGAACAGTCTCACCACTCAAGGTACTTAATATTAGAAACCAAAGAAGTCAAAGTGCTGAGAGTACTTAGAGGAAGGTGAGACCCACCACACTACTAGTGGTCAAAGTGGACCCTAAAGGATGCATAGGCGGTTATGCTCAGTTTGTTTGGGGAAAAAGGTGGCAGCGGGTAGGAGAAGTAGGGCCAATTTGAAGGTTACTATTATATCATAGTCCAGGCAAGAGGTAGAGGGTTTAAATGGAAATGATGATAGCAGGAATAATAACAAGTGTATTTGTTACCATGGAAATAGAATTAGGGAAATCTAGGAATCAATTGATAACCGATTGGATGAAGGATAAAGGGGAAAAGGGCAGTTTTAAATGAACTAACTAGAAGAATGGCAGTGCCAGTTACAGAAACTGGGAAATAAGAGGGATAATTAAATTGGATTTTGTACATGTTGAATTAAAGATATCCCTGGGACGTTCAGGTATTGTGTTATCCCCTGCTAAAAACTTTTAGTGCTTCCTACAGCTTTCAGGAGGAAGTCCCCACAATCAGTCTCTCTATTGTGGCCTGTGAGACCCTGCACGGTCTGGCCTCCCTTCTTTGTGTCCCAACCACAATGGCCTCATTTCAGTCTTTATTTGCTATGCTCCCTCTATTTTGGGGAACTTTGAACATTCCTCCCCACCTGACTAGTGCCTATTTGTCTATCAGAGCTTAGCTCAAGTCTCATTTCCTCAGGGAAGTCACTGCTGACTCGTCTAGGTTGGAGTCCTCACAGCACCATGCCCTTCTGCTCTGGGCACTTATCCTTGTCATTAGACATTCAATAGGATAATTACCTGATCAATGTCAGTTTCCCCTATTAGACTGTTTTATCCCACACAGTCCTTATCTCCACTGCCTAGCAATGTGTCTATTAAGCATCTAACAGAATAGATTCTTAATAAACATTTTCCAATTAGCTAATTAATTGTGGATAATTCTTTTTTGCTTTTAAAAATGAAACCTTAACACATGTACTATCTGATGACAGCCCCATCCTCCTTTTGGAAACACTGCTTGTGCGTGCCACAGTGGTGGGAACACCTATCCTGCTAGGGTGCTTGCCTTGCCATTACTGCTACCAAGAAAATCCATATTCTCGAATTTATAAACTGATTGATATGGAAAGAAAGAACCACCTCCCCGACTCCATTTGTAAATATGTTTGTAAAACTGAAGTATATGATTAAGGAACATTGACTTTAAATACTTAATACTGCCTTAAAGGGCAGTGGCACAGGAGATTTATTGAAGAAAGATTTACTGAGCAAATTCAGAAAGTCGTTTAGAGTATTCATGCCTCAGTGGATAACAAATAATAAATTATAATTAAAAGGAAAATATTTTAATCCCCAAATTCATAAAAATAAAACAAGTTACAAAAATGCTCATATTATGATCTAAATTTTGTACTTTATGTATTTTTAATCTTTTTGTTAATCTGTATTTCCTGTTTCCCCACATTGCACATTAATTAGATAATAAAACAAATCCTAGGGTTGGCAACTTGGTGACTTGTTTTTGTTTGGGTCCCCTGTTCTGTGATTCAGAACCTGTTCCTTGTTGCTTTGGGCTTTAGTTCTCTGTTAATGAGTGCATTTGGAACATATACTCATAAGCATTTAGAAAGTTCATGTTGTTTTTCATCTTCTAAAGTTCATATGACCTAATGAAGGAATCTAGCCAGGGTGGGGTGGGGATGGAGAAGAGACTATGTGTATGTTAAAGTTTTTGATGAGGCTTTGGATCCAGGGGGTTCTTGAAATGACAGGGGTGGGCCTGTAGTCCCCAGATGCTGCTCAAATGCCTCATGGTCAACTGCTGTGTTTGATGGCTGGATGGGATGCAACTCCCCAACTTACAGTGAGAGAGGCACCCCAAGAGAGAACATGCAAAACTGACACATAATCCTTCATATGTATTTTTATTATGAACAATTACATTTTCCAGAACCACTAGGTTTTTCCTTAGAAACCCTAAGGTATGTTTCTCAAAAGTTTTCAGCTGCGACCCAGAGCAAGAAATATATTTTATGTGATAACCCTGTAGACACATGTGTTCATAGATCTGCAACTGAAGTCAAAATTTACAATCATACTCTAGTACATGTGATATTTTCTATCCTATTTCATTAAAACAACCCTAACAGTGACTCTCTGAAATGATTTCATGACCCACTAATGGATTTAAATCTGCAATTTGAAGAATGTACTTCTAAAAGACAAGGGTTTAAGGAAAGCTCTGCCCTTAACTGATGTGGTACAAGATCAACAGTTTACTTAAGCTTCTCTTGAGAGTCTGCGTGGTTGGAAGATCTACCAGAGATGGACAGCTACTAATACACCTCTGACTAATACACTATTACACATCTACTAATACACTATTTTGTATTCAAGAGGCTGATGCTCTTTGACCTGTGGGCATATGTAAAAAAAAAAAATTAGCTAGGCATAGTGACACGTACCTGTAATCCCAGGTACGTAGGCGGCTGAGGTGGGAGGACTGCTTGAGCCCAGGAATTCAAAACCAGCCTGGGCAACATAGCAAGACCTCATCTCATTTTAAAAAAAATGATCGATTGATTGATTAGGGAATTCTTTTTATAGTGGCTAAAAAGATGGAAACAAGTTGGGCATGGTGGCTTGCTTTAATCCCAGCTACTCAGGAGGCTGAGGCAGGGGGATTGATTTACACCAGGAGCTTGGGTCTGTAGTGTGCATGACTGTGCCTGTGAATAGCCACTGCACTCAAACCTGGGCAACACAGGTTTTAAAAAATTAAAAAGGTGGAAACAACCTCAATAGGGAAATTACTGAATAACTTTTGATACATTCATGCTATTGAAAAAGAGAAAAAACAATTTAATTATTTATATTTAAACAGGAGCGAGGGGGTTTCACTCGCTATATTACCCAGGCTGGTCTCAAACTCTTGTGCTCAAGCAATCCTCTCACATAGCTGGGACTACAGGTCATGCACCACCTTGCCCAGCTAATTTATGAAAAAATTTTAAGGAGACAGGGTCTTGCTATGTTGCCCAGACTTGTTGATAACTCTGGGGCTCAAGTGATTCCCCCACTTCAGCCTCCCAAGTAGGTAGGATTACAGGTTCCAGACAGAGCTCCCAGCAATGATTCTCAAATGGTGAATTGGCTGGATCCTGGGGCAGGTGGGAGGTATATATCAGAAACACCAGGAGGAGGGGAGAAATAAGTGGGTTTCAAGAGCATATCAATTATATATTTATATCTGGAAAACAAATACTAAAAATGATCTCTCTTTTTGTTTTTGGTAACATAGACTACAAAAGAGTAGAGTTTGACAGTAACTTCTTGGTTCTTAGGGTTATACAGAAGGTACTAACTCTCAAATAGCTGGAGAGATCCTCCTCCCGGAGGTTATGTCAGAAGTTTTAGGGGGCCAGGCGCGGTGGCTCAAGCCTGTAATCCCAGCACTTTGGGAGGCCGAGGCGGGTGGATCACGAGGTCAAGAGATCGAGACCATCCTGGTCAACATGGTGAAACCCCGTCTCTACTAAAACTACAAAAAAATTAGCTGGGCATGGTGGCATGTGCCTGTAATCCCAGCTACTCAGGAGGCTGAGGCAGGAGAATTGCCTGAACCCAGGAGGCGGAGGTTGTGGTGAGCCGAGATCGCGCCGTTGCACTCCAGCCTAGGTAACAAGAGCGAAACTCCGTCTCCAAAAAAAAAAAAAAAAAAAAAGA